GTACAGCTGAGAAAGATTTTTATTTGAAACCTTAGACCATTATTGATACTCATTGTCACTGAAGATCAATTGAGCTAAAAAAACAACTGTTTTGATTTCAGCATGAGAGCTCATCTCTGAATTCCCTTCTCTCCAAATCCGTTAAAATGATCTTTTCCTTCCTTTCGATTTTTTGCCATGGATAGGAATGATTTATTCTTTACCTGATCTTTCTTGGGCATTAGCACATTGAAACCAATGGTGGTATTCAGCCAGTTCGCACCACTTCGGGAGAACCGGTTGTTAACTTTCTGAACAATTTGGCAAACTGGTTGTTGGAAGAAATCATTAGGGCAGAGAACCGGTTGTTAAATTACTTGAATCCCACCACTGATTAAAACCAACCACAAGGCCTAAAAGCATTGGAGTTTTCTAAAGAATGACATATTAACAGAAGTAAAATGTACCTTCCCCCTCCCCATCCCCCAAAATAGGAATAGTAGAAAAACAAATCTTAAAATAGAACCTGGATCTGGTTATGAAATCTGCATTTTAGTTGCAGTTATTTTTGTTCTGCTAAAGAGAGATTTTTTTTGCTTTTTCTTAGTTTAATATGTCCTATAGATCTGAATAGATAACTATAATATTGGAATATTAATGTGTTAATGGCAAAAAGTGGGAATTAAGGAAGACATCCTTAGAGGATATTGCAATAAGACCTTTAGATCAAAGCTGGGAACATGCAGTTTCTCCTACAAAAGATCTATTGTAGTAATCTGGAATTCGAACCCTAACTAGATGCATGTTAGGGTTCTTCTGAGATTCTCACATCCAATGTCCTAATAAAATATGCATTTCTTTGGATCTTTTCTGCATACACAGCTGGAAGAAATGTGATTTCTGTCACTATTGACACTATTTAAATGCATAGTACTAAAAGCAATACTCTCAGGCAAAACACCACTTCACTATTTGTAAAACTTTACAAACTCTAAAATTTGTAACTATCATTTATCATAGGGGCATTTTCTTAGTTTTAAGGAGAGAGGAAATAAGAGAAGAATTATGTTGGAGACAAAGTGTGATATATCTATATATCTATATTTATAACCATGTCTATATATCTGTATATATCTATTTATCTATTCACCAAATAGTAATGACAACATCTGTTGTTTATCAATGATAGCAGTATAACCCACCAGAATTGCCGTGATAATAATGATAATGAAACAGTTGCTAGTTTAAGCTGCTTTAGCATCTATGTAATCTGTTCCAACATTTATGTTGGAAGAATAACACCACAGTAAAAACAACAGTTTCTTCTTAATTTCACACATACTTGTTGAAAACATATTCCAAACTATTAGCAGTGTAAAATTTGGCACAGTTTCTTGGCAATTGTAGAAGCAAAGAACTTTTAACTGGATTACATTTATGGAAGACATCTTGTGTTTTCTTTTCTGATATATCAGTTATCATTCAGAAATGTGTGTTTCTTTCAACACACCATTTTCATGAGTTCCCTCAAATTACATCCAGGATGCTTAGAATCGCCACAGAGCAGGGCTGTAGGGAACTATATTTGATCCCCCCCCCCCCCGCTCTTCTGCTCCACAGTGCATTGGGTGTTTTTCATTTAATGTCACACCCAGGGCAAAAGTCATTTTCTTGTGTATGCAAGTGCTTCCTGATATTTTTATGAAGCTTATTCCTATGAAGCTATTTGCCTAACGAATACAATATATTGCCTGCAGAACAGGGTGCTCGTGGGTGCGCTTGCAAGCGCAACACTTCTACACATGTACAAAACAGTCCGGGTGGGCGGAGCCTCCCGCTGCTGCTGCTACCGGTTCGCCTGATCCGGGATAGCAACCCACCACTGCTGCAGGATTCACAGACTTGATAACAGTCATCTAGAATCATTGTTTAAAACGGCAGCAATGAGTGCAGCTTGAATTAAGTTGCTTCTCCTTCTCCCTTCTTACGTTTCTATAAGTATAGGAAAGGAGATTATACTTCAATAGCAAAATGCATGCTTTACATACAAAAGAACCCAGTTCAATCCCTTACCTTTCTAATAAAAGATATTAGAGAAAATTATTGTGTAGCAAACTTAAATAGTTATTGCCAATTAAAATATACTGCTGGTAGCTCCATATATAAAATTAGAGATGGATTGGGGTTTAAATAGATCCTAACCATATAAGTTTGACCTGTGAACCTCACTATCCAAATCGTATCTGATATTAGACTGATAGATGACCATTTTGTCTTTCTATATAGCAGAAAAGGATTGTTTTGATGAAGAAAATTTTGCAGAAAAAAATGTGTTAAATATTATCTTCTCCAGATAGGTGTTTTGTAATCTGTTTTACACTGGTGATCCTCTGAAAGTCATATTCATTACCTGAGCAAATTTGATCATTCTCTAAAGCAGGGCTGTCAAACTCCTGGCCCATGGGCCAGATGTGTCATGTGCTGCCCACGCCCAGTTTAGCGAAGGGGGGGGAAGTCCCGATACATCACATGATGCTGCTGTGATGATGTGAGTTTGACACACCTGCTCTAAAGGGTATTTCAATCAGTAATTTTCTTTTGTTCACATTTTGACGGGAACCAACTTTATCTGTACTTTCTGGTTTTAATTTGCTGATTAGAAAACAGTTTTTTTTTTTAGAATTTTGTGCTTCTCCCAAAATTGCAAAAAATATCGGCATGAGCATAAGAATAATTTGTTTAAGAGCATGTATGTTGCATTTTAAGAATTCTACTTAAAAACCAGTTCTAGAATCATTTGTTAAAATTGTAGGTCAGTGTAGAAATAGTAGAATAGTCAGGCTAAACTAAAAATATAAATGGATGCAACAAGAAGGTGCTCTTAGAAATACATGCATAATATTATCCAGTGTGAATATTTCTTAAATTTATATGCCACCCATCTCAAAGAATAATAGTAATGAAGAGGTTTTCATGAGTATAGTTCCACATGGGTTGTACATTGCAGACAGAATCCTTGATAATGGAGAGGTGCTTCTCATGAATTCTCCATAGGATACATGTAAAACTGTTCTCCATAGAGCAGGGCTGTCAAACTTGGGCAAGATGCGTCACACGCTGACCACTCCCACACCCAGTTTAGTGAAGGTAATGTGACGACGCCTTGACAATGCGAGTTTCACACCCCTGCCATAGGGCTTTCAAACTTTTCTTTGTTTCAAAGGTAACATTGGCTAAAAATTCAGCTTCAGCTGGAATCATAGTATCAATTAAATCGGTGTTTCTCAACCTTGACAACTTTTAAGTTGTGTAGCTGGGGAATTCTGGGAATGGAAGTTTACACATTTTAAAGTTGCCAAGGCTGAGAAACATTGAATCAACAGGCGGATGTGTCACAGCTGGAGAGGAGACTGATCTCAATTTTTTAATGTCATTGTTGTATAGTTGATTGTGGCTGAATAAAAGCTAATTAGGTTTTAGGATAAAGTGTTAAATCTAGGATTGTTCTCAGCTGACTCTCAACTCAACTGTAAAACAGAACCTGGAGAACAAAATGTTTGGTGCTTCTCCGTTTCTGTGAAATCCTGATGCCCTGCAGCTGCTGCTATTTGAGAGGCCATGCCTATAGTATGAAATTGTTGCCAAGCAGAGAACTGGTTGGCTTGTTTGGCTTTAACCATTCAGAAACTTTTGAAAACTGAGTTACTCCAATGGCCTTGTGGTAAATGATAGGATATCCTATACCACTCGTTTATATTCTAGAGCAGGGGTCTCCAACCTTGGCAACTTTAAGACTTGTGGACTTTAACTCTCAGAATTCCTCAAAAGCTGACTGAGGAATTCTGAGAGTTAAAGTCCACAAATCTTAAAGTTGCCAAGGTCGGAGACCCCTGTTCTAGAGCACATGGTTTTAGGCATATCTGTATGTTTTAACTTTTCTACTTGACTTGTTTATTCTTAATGAACTTAATTTCTTGGTGTTAGATTTCAACAGAATGGGGTTTATTTTAAAAAATCTTGGTTTGGTGTGTGTGATTTAGACAAAATTTAAACAATAAATAGGTGCTTTATGCATTTGTTTTTTTTTCTACAGCCTACTCAGAAAAGCTTAAGGTGTTCATTTTGACCCAAAGCACCTCCCATGAAAAAAAAAACTAGTTATTACAGATGACTATGTGTATGTTCTTACCTGTTGTATAGCTCCTACCATTTAATTAATCGAATAGATAATCCTGTATTATATTATGAATTACTGATGAACCTCTGTAGTGCATTTCCATTATAGAATGGTAATTTTGTAAGCATAAAAAGTAACCATCTATGTGGTGAATTAACGTATTATAGATTTTTTATGTATCTATTCCTACTGTCATCATAATGCAAGCAGTGCAAACACTTTATAGTTCTGACAAACTTTTTATGTGAGTACTATTACAAAAATGAAAAAGAAGCTAGTTATTATTTCTATTTTTTTCACCAACTTTTTTTTTCTAATTGTGCAATTTGTTTTTATGTGATAAGGTAGTCAAAATTATAGGCATTATTCCAATGGTCCCTTGGTCACTTCCTGATAATTCTCTGCTTGGAATTTGACTTTAATTTCAGCCATAGCAAAAAAATAAAATAAAAAATGTTTTATACCAGTCTTTCCCAATTCATCACGATCAGAATCTATGTAAAATAAGAATTTTTCCTTCAAAGTAAAAAAAAACAACAACCATATTTTTCTGCTTTTTTTTCCTGAGGTTATGAAATCTTGATAGATTGAGGACATGATTAAAGTTTTAAAGATACCACTTTTAAAGTTACCACATTTGCTTTGGAAGTTTGTTTTGGTTGCTGAAACTGTTGCCATCTAAGTCCACATGTTGCTTAACACTTGTCTCAAGTTTTATAATTTACAAAAATTGTTTTATTTAAAGAGCCAAAAACAACAACATGTCTCTGAAGTATATTTATATGTTGTTATTATGTAATTTGTCTTTACTAAAGTTACCAGTTTACTCTCTCTCTTTTCACAGACTTGGATTATCACTTGCTTTTATCTTCAATTGCTCCTACTTTATCCTCTTATTAAAGCTCAAAGTCCCTGTGGGAATCCGGTGACAGATGATGTAAATGAAATTACAGTACTTGTAAGTGGTTTCTTTCCAAATTTCTCACTAAACACTGTTCTGCACGAGATGAAAGGAGATACGCTTGGCAGAAACATGGAAGCTCTTTTTTGCTTGTCTTAATTATTAGTTTCAGTTCATTTTTCTCATGTAAAAAAATCTAATAAAGTTATCTTAATTTTTAAAAAAATGAAGAGAGGACCCTGCAAATCACTACAAAATACATGAGTCTGTTTCAAGCCATAAAATAACTATGGTGTTTCCCAAGGACCCTTTTTTTTGCCTGCCTGTAAATTTTCCTCTGAAATCTGTGGTAGTCTATTACTAAATTCTCTTCAACTCTAAGGAATATTTTCTATGCTTTTTATCATTGGGGTAAATCAGTGGTGGGATTCAGCCAGTTCACACCACTTCGGGAGAACCGGTTGTTAACTTTCTGAGCAGTTTGGCAAACTGGTTGTTGGAAGAAATCATTAGGGCAGAGAACCTGTTGTTAAATTACTTGAATCCCACCACTGGGATAAATATATATGTTTGTGCCTAATTTAAATCATCCAATCAAGACACTGAAAGTAGGAATGCCCTTTAGAGGCTATTCAGAACATAAATTGGAACCAGAATCTGGGTTGTTGAGCAAAGCAGCCATGAAGCAAGACACTCACACGACTGCAATCTCAGCTGTCTGTCATTAAGCAATTTCTTGCATCATTAAGTGGACAGAGTCTCAAGTAAGGAGTGCTAGATTCCTTGAGTGGGGGAGATGCTGGGAGGCCCACTTTAGCACTGAAAATCCTCTGCAAGTTAGATTTTCAATGCCAAAGCAGAGAGATGCTTATGTACTGCCTGAGCCAGGTCTTCCTTACACAATTTCTGCCTCTCTGCTGAGGCATCTGCTGAAATCAAGCATGAGACTCCTTAGGAACAAGGGGTTTATCTTGCCTCGGGGGTGGGTGGGAGAGGCTCAGTGCAGGCTGCACACAAGTGCCTCTCTGGTGTGGAACTAAAAATCCTTCCCGCAGATAACATTGACTTCCTTTGGAAGCCAGCATGGAAGATTGTAAATGATGATCACATGATTGTGGGGCACTTGGGAACCTGTCATAAGTGTGAATGGATTGAGTGGTGGGATTCAAATAATTTAACAACCGATTCCCTGCCTGAATGACTGGCTGGATGGGCATGCCAGGGGGTGTGACAGGCAGCACTCGGCCTCCTGCAACCCTCTGGGAGCAAAAACGGGGCATGGGGGGGAACATGCTGCCCACCTACGCCCCATTTTGGGCCTAGAGGCCTCTCTGCAGTCTCCTGAGAGTGAAAACATGCCACGGGGTCTGCCCTGCCCCCTGTGCCCCATTTTGGGCCTAGGAAGCCTCCCTGAAGCCTCCTGGGAGTGAAAATGGGGCATGGGGGTGCCACAGCCCCCCCGTTTTGGGCCTAGGTTTCCCTGCACTTACCTGGGAGCCAAAATGGGGTGGGTGGGGACTCCTGGAAGGGGCAGGGAGGGTAGGAGCCAGCCAACAATTTAACTACCAGTTCGCCCAAATCGGCCCAAACTGCACTACTGATTGTGAAGCACCCACATGATGAAGGGATAGTGGTGCAATGTTTTTCAATGGTCAGAACTGCTTTAAGACCCTTTCTGAAGCTATCATAATTTTAAACTGTTAAGTGACCAGTTGTAAGCCGAGGACTACCTGTAGTATATATTTTGCCTCATGGAACTGGTCTTCTATAGTTCAGCTTCCCTCTTTTGTTGGGCCATTCCTCATAGCCAATGTCAACATTTCTTGGCTTCATAGAAGATTATCCACTTTTCTCCAAGGGTCATAAGTGGTTAGGATGAGATGGGGCTGGAGATTATATTGCAGTCATTACAATTTTCTACTAAATGCTAGCTTGGGAGTTGTTGCTCTAAGAAAAGGCAGGGAATGGAACAATGTTACAGAATACTGCTTTCAGCAAACAGCATATGAAGGAAAGTCAACATCATTCAACTCTGGCAGTATAGACTGAATGAAATATTGATGCAACTTTCTATGTTTTTGCAAACTCTATTTAACTCAGGTCATACATTATGCAAGCACAACCAATTACTTCTTTTCTTGGCATGCTGATGGTCCCTTTCTTGTTAGAAAAAGACATCCAAAGATGTGATACATTTTTACAGAAGTTGTTTCATGTCTGCAGCAGTCAAGACCCAACAAGCCAAAGCAGATCAACTAATCTTAGGCTGTGACCTGCTAGAGATTTGATCCTTTCTTCTGTTATATCTTTTCCTCATCCCTTCAGTTTCTAATCAGTCCACAAATCCAAGTTTCAACAACTCCTAACAATCTCTCTCTCTCTCTCTCTCTCTCTCTCTCTCTCTCTCTCTCTCTCTATATATATATATATATATATATATACACATATATATACATATATATACATATACATATACACATACATACATACATACATACATACATATATATATATATATATATATATATAAAGTTTATTGTCATTGTACGTATATACACAATATACCCATATGACAAAATTCACATAACACCCAGAGACGAAGCCCAACACACATGACAATTCCCAGACACACCCCCACCCACGAAAAATTTCACACTCCTAAACCACCCAAGCATCCACACAGCAGACCAAGTAATGCTGTCCAACAGCTCACTGATGGTGGCCCTTTAGTTCATTGTTGAGTGCAATTATAGCTCTGGGAAAAAACATTCCCATCAGATAGCATAAATCAGTTTTCCTATGGCATGAACAATCCCTTTTCCAAGTGTAATATGAATGTGAAGATCCACCAAGTGAAAATAATTAATTGATTGTAATTTTTAAAAGTTCCTTTTGGGTTTTGTAGCATGTAAAATAATGCTAGTTTAGCTATCAACTGCTTCTTATTACAAGGAATGTTATCTCATAAGGCTCTTCTAGAGTCTTGTTATCATCTAAACTAAAAAGTGGTCAGGCATCTTATGGCATTGGAAGACACAAGGAAGCATAAATACATTTTGTCATCATTAGTAAAATAATCAGTTCACTTTGAGTTCAAAGCAGAGCATGCAGCATAAGTAGGGTAGAAAGATTTTTTAAAAACCTAAACCTAAAAATTGCAATGGTGAAAAGATAGGAGGGTTAGAAAGAGAGTGTGGGACTAGGAAATTCAGACATGATATTTCTATAATTTGTCATTAAATCCCAGCATGGTGACTCTAAATTTGCAATTGAAATAGAAATTGATGTCACACCAAATATACTGCTATAGTTCAGTCGGTATTTACATACGTTAAGTAACTTTAAGTTCATGGATTTTTGTCTGAATAAGACAGCATGTCTTTTCAAAAATCTAAATTTGTTGCAAGGCTCCAGCTATGTATCAGTCTTTCTCTCCCCCCCCCCTCTTCTGTAATAGTTATTAAAATGTTCATACTCCTTCACTTTGTAATCTTGGCTACTTAGTTTTTTTTAAGCTGTGCATGAAAAGAGCTTGACAGCCTTTGATGCCAGTAAAGTAGGTTGTATACATAATGCATGTCAATTCTTGTTGTGCTTCTCGATCTGGAACAGATTTAATCTTGCACTGACCTTCCTTAAAAAAATGCATGGTTGCTGACATTGTGAAGCCTCTAATTTCTCTGAGGATACTGAATAAAGAAAATAGGAACTTCTCTTTTGCTTAAAGTGTGGCTGATATTGGACCTGGCTAAGAGATCCCAAATCCTCTTTTGTGTTCAGATGAATCTGAATGATTCTTTTGACCATGCAATCACCCTTTTGCCTTCCCTCCTCAAATTTACATGAGAAGATGGGTATCTTCCAAATCTATAAGATGGTTTTGAAGTTGTCTCAAAATCCTGGCTTCTTCCAGAGCTGTGAACCATAATTTTCTTATTTGGGGAAAAAAAAGAAATTATATTTAGTGTAAGATTTCTCAAATGATTGTATGATATTATTGAGGCTGCAAATCAAATGTGGATGGGACCCAGAACTAATTTGGGGAGTGAGTTTCAGAAAATAAAGCAGTGAAATCTGGATCAAGTCATCATTTGTCTTTACTCTAGTGTAAAAAAGAAGGGAAAGGAAAAGCACCTATACAATCCCTCTATTATATATATCATACAGTTTGTTCTTGAGTCAAAAAGGTATAATGCAGAATTATGTAGGAATTAAAAATTAATGCAAGATCTAAAAGCCAACATTGTATAGAGTAGATCTAGTTTGGAACTTAAATTGGTAACTTACATAACCATTGATTTATCTGAATTTACTTAAGTTTATCTAAGTCTGAATATAACCTAATATTTGATTTTGAATTAAAGCCCAGATGTGCTTTTGATAAATTATTTAGGTATACCATGTTTTCCCGAAAATAAGACCTTGTTTTATATTTTTTTGAACCCTGAAATAAGCGCTTGGCCTTATTGCCATGCGCTCAAAAGCCCAAGGTTTTTTATCAGGGGATGCCTTATTTTGGGGAAAACAGGGTACCCATTTCTAAAATTAATTAAAATGGAACATGAAATCCCCATAAAACTCCAAATTTTGGGGGTTTTAAATCTGAGCCGAAATTATTTAATAATTTTAATTGATGTCTGTCTTTGTGCTTTTAATAGGCTGTACACCGCCCTGAGTCCTTCGGGAGAAGGGTGGTATAGAAATAAAATTATTTATTTTATTTATTTATTTATTTATTTATTTAAAAATGGTTTAAAATATTGGTCCTTTAGCTATCAATAGAAATTGACAAATTTTATAAAAATTTCACAGTCCTAGAAAATGTTTATTTCAAAGTAATTTTAATGTGTTTTCTTTTGGTTTGAATATCACTTGTTTGACAGGATTGTGAGATGTAAATGACATTATCTTGCCAAATACTAACTCTTTCATTAATTGAGTGATCTATTTATTAATTAGACAAATGAGTCTAGTACCACAAATTTAAATGGGAAGATAACATTACTTTGATTAGGTACTAGGTGAACTCTAGCTATTTACATACCTATTAACTGGGTTATTATTAGCATTGACTAATCCTTAATTACATTTTAAATTGGCTCATTCTTTCTGAAAACTGTTGGGCAGTAATACCCAAGAAGCCAAACTCTTCTCTAGCAGCTATTCTGAAAAAAAAAATCATGCCTGAAAAAAATGGCAGATGCCATTCATTTTAGAATGCAAATGAGCAGCCCAGAGTCTACAAGCTGCATGTAACCCCCCAAACCCTACAGGCCTATAAAGCCATAACAGAATAAACATAACCATCATTTTCAGACCCATTTTTTTCACTTTACAAAATTTTGGTGGATTTAAGTGTTTAAAAGTTATAACTGTATCACTTAAAAAAGAAAAAGAAACCCATTTTTAGTTTTATATTTTGCGGAGTTTTAATGGATTGATTAAAAGTTAGAAATGTATCACTTTTTTTAAAAAAAATCCTTTTTGAAAGGCCCAATATAAATTACATTAAATAAATTTCAAGGCAAACCCCTATTGAACCTTTCTTCTAGCTCAAAATTAAAGAAAAAAGAACCTGGAATGTTTGATTTTACCAACTCTGGTGACGCCATGACATCACTGGGTACTCATCCCCTGTAACCCCTAAGCAGGATATAAAAATAAAATGTTGCTCATTCTTCTTCTAGGGAAATTCATTAGTAGAGTAGAAGTGCTATAAGTTTTATATGCAGAAGTTATAATTTAGGATTTATTGCACTAAAGCATGATTTGTTTTTATTTTTATTTTTTTATTTTTTTTTATTTTTAAAAAACATAGTCGCTAGGTTCTCACAATACACCAAGCCATAAAACATGAAGAGTCAGTGCAGTGTAGTGGTTAGAGTGTGACTGGAGAAATTTAGGTTCAAGTTTACTCACAGCCACAAAAGTTCATTAGGACTTGAGGCCATTCATTCTTTCTCAGCCCAATCTACTTCCCAAGGTGGACATTTGGAAGGAAAATGTGGGAGGAGAGAATTTTATGCATGCTCATGAAAAGAAGGAAATGTAAATATCTGTCTAACACATAAATAAACTAGAATGACCATATGCATATCACATAATTGGCCAAAAATCAAATTCACGGCATTATACCATAGTGGTTGCCTGGAGTTACATGATGATCTTTCAGCTCTCTGTGCAATCATCAATATGATGAGCTCATTTTATGTCCAAACTGAGAGATGAAGCCTACTAAATAATAATCTGTGGTTTGGAGAAGCAATTATATAAGAATGCTCAATTAATAGGACCTGGATTAGATTCGTTACAAACAAATTTTGCCAACTTAACCTTATCTCTTTTGACAAAGTTGGAAAATACTAGAGACATAGTGCACCTGGACTTCAGGCGCTTTGACAGAGTGCCTTGTGATATTCTCCTTCATAAAATGGGGAAATATGAGATACTGTACCTCTGTTAGATGGGCTTACAGTTGGCTAAATGATCACGTCCAAAGAGTGTTCATCACTGGCCCCGTTTAATCTTGGAAGGAAGTATGTGGTGGAGTGCCACAGATCTCTGTCCTGGTACTTGTGCTGTTGAATATTTTTATCGGTGACTTGGGTGGTTTCTTCACTCATTGGTAACATTTGCAGGTGACTCATACATTTTTAATGAAAGGGAGAAAATTCAAAAAGCTCTGGACAGGCTTGAATAGATGACAGAAATGAATAGAAAACAAAGAAACATAAATTTATGCATCTAAATAGGAAGAATGTAAGGCAAAAATGGGAGAGTCCTGGCAACAGTAAAAAAAAAAAAAAAAAGGATTTGTGTATACTGGATGACCACAAATTAAACATGAACCAGCAGTATAATAGAGCTGCTAAAAGCATAAATGTTATCTTTGGGGTATTAACAGACGATAGAATCAAGATAACAGGGAGTAGTTATTTCATTTTATGCTGATCTGGTTGGAATAGTGTCCACCACACTTTAAAAAATACAAGAACACATTAGAAAAAAACTTAGAGAGGGAGTTTTGTGAGGAGTATGGAAATCAGGCCCTGTGAAGAATGGCTACAGGATCTGTGTATGTTTAGATTACAGAAAATATTACTAAGTCAAATTATGATAGCAACCTTCCAATTAGAATACAAAGGCTTTCAAGGAAAAAGGAAAGGCTATGGAAAAAAATGGGACAACTCATCGCAGCCAGATCAGCACGGCGGGGTCACCTGTGCCAACTCATTGCTGCCAAGCCACCGCAGGACAACCACACAGCCAACTTGCCATGGGGATAACTCACTGCAGGTGGCCAGAGGAAGAGTTGGGTGAGTCAGCAAGTAGGTGGGTAGAGCACAGAGTGGTCTGCCATGCCAAACTCCAGGCCTTAGAGCCTTGGGACAACGGCAGTGGGCAGAGCAAGCAGCAGGGAGGTGGCAGAGGCTGAGGCATCCCATTTTCACAAGCCCCACTGCCGCTGCTGCTACTGCTGTTGAATTGCACTGTGTTCCGGGCTGAAGAGGTTGAAGATAATGGCAGGGAGGTGGCAGTGGGGTGTGTGTGTGTGTCCCATTTTCACATCCCAGTTGCCACTGCCATCCCCAGCATCTTTGGCTCAGAGCTTGGTGCAGCAACAGCAGCAATGGCGGATGGTGTGAAAATGGGACGTCCCTGGCCACTGTCACTTCCCTGCCGCCCATCCTGTTCACCGCCGCCCTTCCTGACTACTTTTGCCCAGAGCTTTGTGCAGCAGCAGTGTCAGGGGACAGAATGAGAAGCCCCTGGCCACCACTCTGTGCTCTGCCCATCCTTTCATTTGCTCACCTGCCTGGCTCTCTTTCCAGAAACCTGTGGGAAGTTATCCCCACTGCGAGTTGTTTATGTGGAATCTTCGTGCAGCAACTTAGTGGCAGTGAGTTGGCAGAGGCAACTTGGCAATGATGAGCTGGTGGTGCTGAGATAGCCACAGCGAATTGTCCTAGACCCATGGAAAAATATACTGACCCACTACAGAATTCAGATAAAACAGAAAAACAAGCCATTGTGAGACTTAGATCATTCCCCCCTTTCTCTTTCATAGGCAAGAGAACAAAGCAGAACAAACTTCAGTTTGATATTTCACATACAAGAGACTCTGACAAACAATAAACCAGGAGTCAACCTCGTGCTCTTTATCATTCACAGTAGCAAAGGATTAAAACAGATACTGTATAGTCAAAAATACCTGAAAGACAATTCTTCAACAAGGAACTGGAAAAAAAATCTTTGAAAATAAATCTGGTCTGAATCAATTGGGTGGTACATAATTCATTAAAAAAATATCAGCATTAAAAAATGTTCATTACACTGTCATGCAAGTGGCATGTCAGGTAAACATGTTAAGTTGCCACAAGCATGATCGGACTTTAAATGTTTAGCTCTATTTCTTTTTTTTTTTTCCCTTAAATAGCTAAATTGTTTTTCATGTTCTTTATTGTCTGTAGGTTGGAAATCTTCCACATGATTATTTGATAGCCCTTAGATATGTCCAGAAGACGGACACACTGGTATGTAAAGCTTTTTGAATTATTTCAAAATATTAACATATGCAGCATCAAATTTTCTTGCTTTTCAATTTTTGGAAATGCAAATAGATTGTGAACTTTTTAAGTCAACGATTTTTCAAAAGGTTTTTCGTATAAAATTATATTTTGGCCAGAAACCATTACATTCCTGTTGGTAAATTAAACGTTTCCATTTAAATTCTATTAAAATTTAACATGCTGCATTTTAACTGTTTTTTTCCCATATATTTTATTTAATAATAACTTGAAATAAATATGCACAAAGGAGCAATATAATTTTAATTATTTGTATATATGTAGTAATCAGATGAGTGAAGCAGCGTATGACTCAACCTATCTAAATATTCAGTTATATAAAATGAATCATTTTCCCATGGTAGATGGGAACAAGAAATCTTTGATTTTATGCAGCAGGAATATTGTAAGATTTTTATGCCTGCATTTCTTCTGTCTCCTCTAAATTCCAAACATGGAGGTGTGTGGTTACTGACATACTCACAGTATTAATAAGGAATTCAATTTTGTTCATCTAATTAAATTGTAAAGAACATAATATTATAAATGGTTTCCTGCCAAGCCTCTAATTTTTCCTGGCCAAAAAACAGATATATAACTGCAATGTTTTAAGGTTGTTTCTTTGCTGCTAATTAAAAGCCTAATTAAATCTCCTTGCTGGCAGAGAGAATAATAACTTTGTGCGTGTGAGAGAGAAAGATAATCATCTTTAGTGAGTACTCAAAAACATCTTGTGAATACACTTGGTTTTATTTGCCAGTATTCTATGGGCTTAGAAGCACCACCAGTTCCAACTTTGGAGGAATCATTAAAAAAAAAAAGATATGTAGGTAGAGCCGTGGTGGCAGAGTGGTTAGAATGCAGATTTGCAGGCTAATTCTGCTGACTGCCAGCAGTTTGATTTTGACCAGCTCAAGGTTGACTCAGCCTTCCATCCTTCCGAGGTAAAATGAGAACTCAGATTGTTGAGAGTGACTCTGTAAACCATTTAGAGAGGGCTATAAAACATTATGAAACATTATATAAATCTAAGTACTATTGCTATAACACTTAATATACTATAACAATTAAATTTGTCCTGTAATCTACAACTCCTACACTGCAGAAACATATGGACCTCATAAACGAACCCCACTCTGTCAAGGACATAGGAGTACTCATCTCAAATGATCTAAGTTCCAGAGCTCACTGTAACAGCATTGCCAAAAAGGCATTAAGAGTTGTTAACCTAATCTTGCAAAGCTTCTTCTCCGGTAACATTGTACTGCAATCTAGGGCATACAAAACCTTTGTCAGACCAATTCCTGAATACAGCTCATCTGCCTGGAATCCACACTATATATCGGACATTAATACAATTGAATGGGTCCAGTGGAGAAGAGTACTCCACTCCTCTGCTCACAATAGAATCCCTTACACCACCAGGCTCGAAAATTTGGGCTTGGACAACCTGGAACTATGCCATCTACGGTCTGACCTAAGCATAGTATACAAAATTGTCTGCTACAATGTCCTACCTGTCTATGACTACTTCAGCTTCAACCTCAACAATACACAGGCAAACAATAGATACAAACTCAAAATAAACCGCTCCAAACTCAATTGCAGAAAATACGACTTCAGCAACAGAATGGTCAACACCTGGAATGCTCTACCTGACTCCATTGTTACATCCTCTAACCCCCACAGCTTCAACCTTAAATTGTCTACTGTGGACCTCACCCCATTCCTAAGAGGTCCGTAAAGGGGGCGTGCATAAGCGCACTAGCGTGCCTACCATCCCTGTCCTACTGTCTCCATTTATTTGTACTCATTCCTTGTTCATGTCCATGTTTATACTTATATCTGTTATCTAGTACATGATCGACAAACTAAATAAATAAAATAAATAAATAAATAAAAAATTAGGCAGGAAAGCCTTATAGGGTAGAGATCTCAGTAGATGCTCAATAATATCTTTTAATACTAATAATACTAATTATTTTTAAATCTAATAGTACTTTCAAACTGAGTTTGATGTTCATAACTGAAAATCAATGTTTGTCCTGAAATATTAATGGGCTTTGGTACTATCAGGATTCAAACAATAGTGTAAGTCAAAATCAGACAAACCTCATTATGACTTATTGTGATGTATGAACACACTTTGTGTTAGTAAAATATGTTCACTGTCGAGGTGAATCCAATCTATATATAAATGAAGCAATATTATTAATGCATAGTGGTTTTGACATGTAATTTGTATTCCTGACATGCAACATGAAATGCATCTCATTTTAAAATATAGGACAAATTCAGTGCAAATAAATATTGGATTCTGTAGTCTGAAAATGTTGCTAAGAAAACTGTATGGAGCTTTCCATGTCATCACCAGGAGTCAAGATTCATAAACATATTGAGTTCGGATGAACAAGATAAAATAGATCTTGTTCATCCCAATAAAGAATAAAGAGGTGAAATTAATGGACACGAGAAACAAGTAGAATTAGCAGAAATCTGCTGACAGTCATAGATCCATGCATATTAATGGCAGTTGAATATTAGTTTAACAAAGTGCAAAATAATGCTTCCAATGCAGATTGAGGTGAAATAAATGCTTATAAATGTTGATAGGTGGATAGATAGAAAATGAATGAATGAATGAATGAATGAATGTATGTATGTAACAATGTATTGAATTACTTTTTTACAATTGTACATTATTAAAGCATGCACAGAATATAATATATTTTTTCCTTTTATTATCATTTCTGACAGCCTTACCACTGTTGGTTGCATTTGATGGTCCCTGAATTGTTAAACAGTCTAAATAATCTTCTCAATAAATTTAAAGAATTTCCAGATATGTCAAATGTCTTGAGTAATTATTCAATTATCAATAAACTAAGGCGGATCATCAATGATGTGATGGCATGCTTACCTTCTACCACATATAATAAGGTAATAATCTAAATCTGAACTTTCTTCTATATTACTAAATAATATCCTGAAATAAAAATGTATAAAGAATGGGTGACTGTAATATAATGTTTTTGCAGAGGTTACCTTGCTACTATAATAAACCAAAGATTCTTAATGTTTTATTAAATCATGACTTTATATAAGTAATTCCTTCAGTTATTTATATATTTAATTATGTATAATTTCAATTTATATATATCTATGCATGTATCATATTTATACCCTCCCTTGTGTTTATATGATTGTAGTGGAACATAAAGATAATATATAAATAATTATTGCATGCAATTCAATTTCTTCTATCCCTGTATTTAAATAAATATGTTTATTTAACATATACACAATATTTTGTACATACATCTGATGCATTGAAGCTGTGTCAGCAGGACTTATTTCAAATATAATCTCTGAGTAGTAAGCATAGCTTGCTTGCACTGCTAATAAATCTGTGGAAACAACACTTTGCTTTTCATAGTAATAGATGAAACAGAAATTTGGGAATAAGAGTTCTCCAAGATACATGCCATCCTCCCCTCATTATACACCTCTGATTTAAAACATAAAAGATGATATTGAAACATAAAGAAACTATAATGTCTAAAGCCAGCTTTAAACTTAGCTGCTTCAATTTTCAAAGTAAACCAAAACAATTCCTGCTTTAGTATTTTAATTGTGTATTTAGTATTTATATAAAAAAGCTTTTCAGTTGAATATGAATTTGCATGTACAGTTTTCATAATTGTTTCTGGAGTGCTGCATTTTGATATGGCCCAAGGGCTAATCAATAAATAAAGATTGATTGATTGATGTACAGTTTTCACTTCTGTGTTTTGACACTTGTAAATAATGTACTCACCTAGGAAGTGCATAGTGATAGACTAGGTGGCCTTATTTTTAAAAAAATGGGATTCTATCCTCTTTCTCAGAATTATAGCCAACATGATCATCTATATGAAGAAGGTAAATTTGTTCCAGAAGAGTTCTTCAAGCACTTTTACAGCATTATTGAGGCCTACAAAATCTTTTCAAAAAGACCAGAACAAAGTGACTGCATTCTTCCCTCAACAACAGAATCCTCTCCAAATGGTAAATGCTTTTTTATATATAGAAATATCCACAAATGTCATGAATCACCTTTAATGGATTGGTGCCGATTCAATATGAGCTTGTATTATACAGGGTAAATGTAACAGAGTTATATGCTGCTTAGAATAGAGCCATCTAGAAATATCAGTAATAAACAGTGCTTTGACTTTATAGACCTGTACCCTGCTTTATCAGGGTCCTAAAGACACTGAGCATGTCAGCTGGAAAGCTGACAGCCTGGGTTTGAGACCAGAGTGCTGCGCGACAGGGTGAGCTCCCAGCTTACTTGCCCCAGCTCCTGCCATCTAGCAATTCGAAAGCATGTGAATGCAAGTAGATAAATAGATACCACTTTGGTGGGAAGGTAACAGTGTTCCATGAACCTCAGCACATAGGCATGCTAGCCACATGATCACGGAAGTGTCTGCGGACAACGCTGACTCCCTTGGCTAAGAAATGGGGAAGGGATCAAAATCTTTCTACAGTTTAGCCCATTATTCTCTAGAACAATCCATATTCAAAACTCATGACTATTTAATTTTTAAAACAAAATAAACAGTGGAATAAATTTATTTACCTCTTTATGTCACTTTCATCCCAATCTTCAATTGAGAAGGTTCCTGAAGGGTCTGCATGAAGATTTTGAAAGAGCAGTCTTTCCCATAGGTTTTTTTTAATCAAAAGCACAGGTGGCTAGAATAAAATTGATGGTGACACAATGTTATCATTTTCAATCTGACTCTTTGATATTTAAAATATTCCTCAACAGAATTCCATAACAACGTGTCTTAGGAACATAAAGCAAGCCTTCAGGATTTTGTAGAATGATATTTTTTTTTAACATAGAATAGCAATAGCACTTAGACTTATACTGCTTCATGGTGCTTTACAGCCCTCTCTAAGCAGTTTACAGAGTCAGCATATTGCCCCCAACAATCTGGCTCCTCATTTTACCGACCTCGGAAGGATGGAAAGCTGAGTCAACCTTGAGCCTGGTGAGATTTGAACTGCCAAATTGCATTCAGCAGTTGCAGTACTGCATTCTAACCACTGCACCACTGTGGCTCTGAATATAAAAAAATTAGCTGCTTTGTTTCCATTATAGCTATTTACTTCTGATCACATAAACCTTTTTTACTGAATTGTCTAAATGTTATAAAGCAGTAAAAAAAAAAGTAGGGTTCCCCCCCCCCCATTGGGTCCAGCTTTATTGTAATGGGAAACTCCCACATGTGGTCCCAGATCAGGCTGGGAAGAATCATACAGGAATCCTGAACTAGACGACCCAAGGGTTTCATTCTGTGTTATACAACTTCCTATGTGCTTAAAATATATATAAAAAAACTGACATATTATTTCTGTCTCAGATTCAAGCACCAGTGTCACAGAGCCATTTTTATTACATCCTGTTGCGGCCAGTTCCCTTAGGAATGATAGCAGTGACAATAACAGCAACAGTAAGTGTAAACAACTGCTTTCAATATTGTCATATTAATTGGGGAGGTGGGGAAGAAAAGCAGACATATTGTGCAAATCAGTTCTGTATCCTCAGGAATCAGGATCCATTGGTTAAATAAACTTCCTTGCCAGCAGAGGAAAGAAGCAAGTGGCAAACATGTCTAATAGCACTCAACATTAATATGGCTCCTCAGCATGAAACATAGAGCTTGGAGAAGAAGCACATGGTTTTGCTTTGGTTGGTGCTAAATTTTGGTAATGAGAATTGTAGGGCTTTTATGGAAAATGTAAAATTGAAACAACATACATAAACCTCTTTTAATTATTTCATAACCTAACTCTTGAATGTCATTTAATGGCAGCAGAATGAGGTTATTTTTCCTCATCCACCTCTTCCTCCCCACTCCCTTTCTGCTTCAGCCTGGGAAGCATTAAATTATTAAAGCTTGATGAAGCTGTGAGAGAAATAAAAAACCATGTTTTTTTTCTAGAGTCTAAGAACAAATGTAGTGCTCTATCCCATTTTTTTTTAATTAAGGAGGCTTACTAGTTGAGAAGATGAAGAAGCTTCTTTGTGATTTTAACATTTTCTGGACTATATAAGAATCAATTTCTTGCATTGCCATATTGTGAGCCCCAAAATCTACCACTTCAGTTTACTGTCTCAGGACTGTATTTTGTAAAGCTAGGGTCAGGCATTCAAGTTATTTTCTATAAATATTTCAGAATTAAGAAACAAGACAGGAATATCACTGAGAAAGAAAACAATAAAGTGAAATGAGGACACAGCAAATATATATTTGTGTGTGTGTGTCGTGTCTGTGTCTGTGTGTGCATGTATTCACAAAGATTGCATTTTGACAAACACCTATTTAACAAGCTACAAAATGAAACTTTAATTCTAACAGACAACAATGATAAAGTTAGTAGATCCAGATATCCTGTTTCAAAGAGATTTTTAAAAATGTGTTATGATACTAACTGCTAAAATCACCTTTAAAGAAAGAAATTAGAGGATAAACAAGAAATTAGGATAGCCAAAGAAATGACATGCCTATATTTCTGATCACTGAGGGAAAGCACTGTAAAATGAACAAACTAGATTTTTTAAATATGTAGAACAGCCCTTCAGTTCTTCCAGAGTATCTGGTCTTCTGACAGAAGAACTTTGATGGGGAATAACAAATGTTACAGAGAAAATAGAATTTTGCAAGGAAAGTATTTTGCCAATTTTTCAAATCTTATGACAGTGTTAATAAGAATGTAGTTGGGATGAAAACCCACTTCCTCTCTAATGGACTCAAAGCAATAATAAAATTAAGTGACAAGTCATCTTGCAGATTCATACCCAGTCAAACAGGATAAGAAAGAAAGTTATTTTCCAAAATGCTAAGAATACAGCAGTGAATACTACATAAAGGAAACTATTAGGGCAATCACAGTTATCAAATCTGACTCCTACCATATCATATAGAATGAGTTTTCTGCATGCCTTTGGTGCCATCTTGCAGATATATGGATTTCCACATCCAAGACCTGGCACACGTAATAAAAATAGAGATGATGGATTTGGTCTTAGGTCTAAATGGTTCCAATTTGATCTCCATATAAAAAAGGGAGCAATTGGAACAACTGTCTGCAATTCTGGAAAGCCTTTGTTGGTCATTGTAGACAATGCTGGTTAGATTGATCATATCTAACTTGGTATAAGGCATTGTTCTCTAGACCTACTATGATCAAATATTAAGATTTTCACCTTTTATTTTCTACAGTTGACTTACTAGGTGTAAAATAATCATCTAGGAATTATGCAGGCATGAAATATCTGTTCTACTTGATTAAAATTTCCTGTTGGCGTTAGTACGCCTCAAGGGTCTAAGCAAAGTTCAAACATTGTTGGATAAATCTGCATAAAAGCAAGATTTAGAAAGTTAGATAAGTTTATAAACCATGAATTGCCAAACTGTATTTACAGTGAAGCTAAATAATTGGCTTAAATAGGAGTATGCAGGATTTTTAGCTGAAGTAAAATGGGCAATAAAATCCTATAATTAGCAGATATTTTGAATGAAAAAGTGTATAACATGAATTGAAAGGGGCAGTATCCTTTTAGCGTTTTTAGTGGCTCCTTATCTAATTTAATATTGGCTGGAATTACATTTCATTTCAGCGAGATTGAAATTTTAATTGTTCATCTATAGATAACTAATCAGAGCTAGAAGGCACAACACGAGTTTAGTCTGTCCATCATTAAAAAAGAACAACTTGAACAGTTAGAGAATTGATATAATTTTAGCAGGAACCCAAAAGTCTGAAAGGGAGAGTGCATTCTGAAGCTAATTAATGAAGGTACCAGTTTTATAAACTAACATCTTCACAAGGGCATTTATAAACATGGCTATTGCAGTAGGGTATATCATTTGTGCTTACAGAAAGATATGGTGCTGAATTGTGCACTGAACCATTCATACAGGGGAATGCAGATGGTGGATTTGGTCCATACTTCTCCAGCTTTGAAAAACAACAGTCAAGTAGACAGACTGTAGCTAGATGTGTGAGCTTTGTTTTTAATTTTTTAAGAACTCCAAAATTGGTCCTTTAGAACACATGAAAAATAAAGACTCGCAACAAAATTTACTAAAACAAATCTAAATCCAAGCCCTGTCCATATGAGTGATGTAGCCTACTTATTTTGTCTTTTTGTCCTATGTACTATATCCCTTGGCACTCTGCTTCCAAAAAAGCCATTCTAATAATATATATACATATTAATTTTTGGTGATTAAATAGTATCCTTTGTATGCAGTATTAAGACAGCATAGGGCTAATGTGCAAATGAAGTGAATTATTCAAACAGCAGAGGCTAATTATAGACTGTATGTCAGAATGGATGGATAGATAGATAGATAGATAGATAGATAGATAGATAGATAGATAGATAGATAGATGTGTGTGTTTGTGGGTGTGTGTAGAGAGAGAGAATATTATTACAGAATTACGTCTTTAGAAAATGCACATTAATTCAACAAAAACCTAATAGTATGCATAACCCAAATACTATAGTTACTCCCATGTTAGGATCAAATGTTAACTAGATGTTAATACTTGCCAGAATTAGAGTTCTTGTCCAAGAAAATGAATAAGAGGAATAGTCAAAGAATCTCTAAACTGATGACAAAGAATCCAAATGCATTCCAACCATGCAATGAACACAGGTATAATGGGCTGCAGAAATCACAACATACTAGTTTCTTACTGAGAAGGACAAATAAAGATAGCCACTGATTATTTTTTTCCTTTCCCAGATATTTCTATTGGCAAAGTGGATAAAACTCAATCTCCAATCCTGTTCTCATCTCAGGATTAACTTTAGAGTTTCTTGCTAAATGAATTGTAGAAACCTAAAGCCATCAGGTGCTCTTTGCAAAGATAGCAGATAGGTAATGTAAACACAAGCACCTACAGAAATCACTCAAAGACACTGTCTCTATATCTCAGCTCATGGGGACCCATCATTTCTGTCTTTCACTCCTCCTCACCAGACCTTATTTTGTTATGGGGCGTATATATGCATATGATGGTTGTCCTACATAAGAATAACACAAAAATATTGGAAGCCACCATACATAGATATAGGAGCTGAGTCACACCAAGATTCCAAATTAAAAAAAACTGCCAGAGACAGAATAAGAAACTTATTCAATGCTATCTTAAGGTCATTGCTTCAAACCTGTGTTGATCATGGTTGGGACAATGGGTTTCAGATAGACAGCAGGCTACTGCTTCTTTTAGTCATTTTAGCTTCTTTTAGCACTTCTTTAATGGCTTAGCAGATAGCAAATTTAAGATATGTGGACTTCAACTCTCAGCATTCCCTTAATCAGCATGCTGGCTGGAGAATGTTGGGAATTGATGTTCACATGTCTGGAGGTTGCTAAGGTTGAGAAACACTGTTATAGGCTAAGTCTTAGTATAGCTTGCCTTTCAAATGTTCAGATGAGCAAAAGTCCCCCAACTATTATTTCAGAGGCCAGTGGGGCTGCTCTTGCTAATAGTACTCTGTTCTCCAGTGAAGAGCGGGGAAAATCTTTATCATTTTTCAGTTCCTGCTGCTCTGCCTCTTGAGAATTCACATCTGTGAACTTCTAAGCATATTTTTCTGATAAATTATGTGGTCTAGTTTAAATGGGGAGAAGAGACCTTTAGCAGAAAATCTAGCCAAGAGAAAACAAGAAGATAACTTGGTAAGTGTTCCTTTGCAGATGGTTACATGGGATTATAAAGTTGCCAGAATGTTTGCCTTTCCCGAGTGAAGTGCAAATAAAGCTGTGAATTTCAGGCAGCCAAACACTTCCTAATAAAACCACAAACTACTTTAAAGATATCATTTACAATGTAAAGGAGTAGAAAAGTATTACCAAATATATGACTCACAAGCTTAACATTGTTACCCTGGAGATTTTGTTTTGTTTTAATCTATCTTCATTAATCCAAAAAACTTTTTTTTTAAATTCCAGAAGCAGAATTGGACTTCCTCAGTAAATCTAGCAATCAAGTATTGAGCATAGCACTTTCATCATTGTTGGCTTTTGTCTTCGGCTTTGTTTTGGGAGCCATATGCTGGAAGGTGAGAAATATCAAATATATGATTAATTAAAGAGGATATTAAATTGAAGATCATATATGCCCTTGAGTGAAGTACCCTGTTAAGCAAACATATCAATAAACCTTTTTCAGACAGAATTTGAGGAAAGGATTTTTAAAAAAACTTTCTCTGTTTCTAGAAAGCTTTGTCATTTTACTTTCCTTTCCTTTCCTCTCTCCATCCTGTCTAGAGGTAGACGATTTGTTGACAGAGGACAGTTCTCCAGTGTGGAATTAGATTCCCTAGTAAAGAGGAATAGGTACTGATGTAGAATTGAATGCCAGTTTGGAATTGGCAACAGCAGTGTGATTTCATAGACTTGCAATGATAAATATTTTTAAAATGCTGCAAAATTCACAAAGCTTGGAGGACTGCCATGCCCAGTTGATGTAGTGAGTATTATCCAGTAGAACAGGAGTCCCCAACCCCCAGTCCATGGACCAGGCTGCACAGACAAGTGAAGCCCCATCCGCGAAATACAGGCAGCACACGAAACCACACCCCCTCTGGTACATGGAAAAACTTCTCTATGGAACCAGTCTCTGATGCCCAAAAGATTGGGGGCCATTGCAATAGAAGACTACTGAAACATACTCTTAGCTAATGTACCAAAGGTGCTTTTTCCCTAACTGGACTTTCTTGTTTTTTCTTTTGAAGACATTTCACTTCTCATCCAAGAACCGTTTTTAACTCTGACAGGATAGTAGGGAATGGAAGGATTTATATTCTTTGCAGACAGCTGGTAATCTGCATCCTTTTAGTGGGTCGTTGAAGCATTTGGAGGTTTATCTGTGTCCTCGGGGTCACCTGAGTAGTGCTCCTGGTTCCTATAGTCTGCATTTTTTCCTCTGGAAAACCATTCCTACTCCCACACAATTCAAAGGCTGTTCATCCCAAATGTATAGCTAAAAGTCTGTAGAGATTCTCAGCCGTCCAGGTCATGGTTGTCCCAAAGGTGCTTTTTTCAGGAGGCAACTGGACTTTCTTGTTTTTTCTTTTGAAGACATTTCGCTTCTCATCCAAGAAGCTTCTTCAGCTCTGACAGGATAGTGGGGAATGGAAGGACTCTTAGCTAATCCACACAATTAGGACTATAGATGTTCTATAACATTTATAGTCCTAATTGTGGGGATTAACTAAGAATAATATTATTTTTCCCAAGGTCAAACAACTGTGATTTGAAGTTCGAGGGATTGTGCTGCCTACAGTTATGAAGAATAGTATCACAATGAGTGGCATAATGTGACCCTTCTGCAACAACTAAATAATCACAGTACAAAGAAGCACAAGGGCTATTCTGCCTTCATATCTTTCTGCTATCAATAAATAGTAAGAAAAAGTTGGGCTGAAAGAAAATGTATATACAGTCACGCTTGTGTACAAAAGCAGTGGCAAACAATTTCCATGCTGTATGGTTGCCAAGAAAACTACATGGACAGTGATATATGATCTCCTAGAGATGGGATCAATGCAAAGTAAAGGAGATTTGACTTTTATTCTTTTCCTCTTTCAGCTGAATGACAACATGCTTTTAGTATTTCATTTTTTTAAAAAATGCAATTGATTATATTGTATTTTTTCTACATTATCATAAGGCCTGTTTTCTTATTTTTCTATAGAAAAGGATCTGCAGGCATATACTACAAATTCACCAGACTACACAATCTAACATCAACCAAGATGATAATGAGATAAGGTATTTTGATTTAATGTTTAGTCACTTGTCTGATAGGAGACTATTTCCCCAATTTCAACATATGTTTTGGAAATGTTGGTCCTGAAAGATTCTAGATATGTACCCCATGACCTGTGTTAGGATTTGTAAAGTTGCAATCTACACAGGTTTACTAGGGAATGGCTACACAATGGGGCATTCTTAATATGCAAGCATTATAAAATTGCAAAATAGAGAGTTTAGAAATCTGTGTTGTTGACAGTTCTGTTTTAATGTCTAATTAATGCATTTCCCTCCATGCACTATATATTGTTATATTCTAAAACATTATTTCCATACGAATGTATTTTAAAATAGGTAATTGTGGAACGCTCTTAACAAATAAGGGCTGTTCTCCATCTGAAATTATTTTCATAATTTCAAAAACGCATTTGTCACAAAAGACTGAAAAAGCACTTTGCTTTTTATTTCTTTTTCAGTATGTTGCAGCACAAAGACAAATCGCTTCTACAAGTGTAGCTGTTTCTTTTTTATATATACACTGTTACTGCTTCACGTCTAGGCAAGTATTGAAACAGAATATTTGAGTTTATCACTGAGGGGTTTAAAGTGACTAGTTGACTGAACTTTGTAGTAATTCTTTCAGGGTTTTTCATATAAACCTATATACCATCAGAAGCTGAACATTGCTGCCCTCATTGACAATACAGCCATAGTCTATAAAGTAATCTCCCTTCTTGCTCTCTTTTAAATAAGCATTTAAAATGATGGCTTATTACATGAACATCTAAGCCTTTGCGCTGGGACACAGGGACAGGTTGTGCCTCTTGAAGACTGGAATTTCATCTTGCATTGGCAGGTTTTCCTGGCCTCTGCGTAGCTCAGCTATGATGCAGAAGGAATTCCTGACAATTTCTGGGCAACATTGGCTTCTTTTAAGACCTGCCCATGTGGTATCAAAGTAAACTCACAGTTGTTAATATGGATAGCTTTGGACTTATGGACAATTGCTCAGTGACTGTTTGGAGTTACAAAAGGGCTGAAAAAATGGACTTACCACCTGTGCCACAGTTACGTGATGAAAATTCCAGTGATAGCCCGACCATACTTACATCAGGGGCAATTCAACTCCCCCTTCACCTATTTCTCTCTCCCTCTCCCTCTCTCCCTCTCTCCCTCTCTCCCTCTCTCTCTCTCTCTCCCTCCCCCCCCATATCATTACCCTTTTGGCTGGCTTGTACTCTGTTTTGAAAGGCAGCAAGCAACCTTAGAATGACATGGCTCTGAGGCTGCTTGCCATACCTCAGGAAGCCAGAGCCACCCCAGTCTGCTCTAGCAAACACCAGAAAGCATTCATTATATTGCCCACTTGTCTTTGCTTCCCAGCCTCAAGTGCTCCCCACCTTAACCCAGCAAGCACCAGCAAGAATTCTTTTGCCCAACTGCCTTCTCTTCCAGTTTCCCACTTCAACCTTTCGCCTTTTGCTGCTTCCTTTTTGGATCCAGCCTCTTGAGAGAACATTGCCTACTTTTCTACTTTTTTTTCCTCTTCATTCCAAAGACAGTGATTCTTTGTAAAGCTGCACTGTCTTCATAAAGCTGCACTCTCTTTCCAAAGGCATTCCAAAGACAGCACAGCTTTACAAAGGCAACACATACTTCAGAAATCTGTACTGCCTTTCCTAAGGTGTTCCAAAGATAGCTAAGTTTTACAAAAACATGCTGCCTTCAGAAGAAGGACAAAGTAGGAAAGTAAGAAAGGTTTGTTGGAGAATTCGGGCCCAAAACGGAGACAGCAAAAGGTGAAAGATCCATGCAGGGAACCAGGAGAGAAGGCTCTGGGTGAAGAAATGTTTGCTGGGGTGGATTGGGAGTGAACAAATGCTGCTGGTGCTTCCTGGCCAGATTACGGAGTATATGGGCCTAGAGAAAGAAGGTAGCTGCGTGAATGAATGCCAGCTCAGGTGGGCTGAGGCAGCAGAGGTTTCTTTGGTCATGGCAAGCAGCCCTAGAACCACTTAGATGTTGGGTTGCTTATTGCTAAACAAGGCAGGATGCAAGCTGGCCAAAAGGTTATAGATGGGGGAGTTATGGACATATAGGGGTAGTTAAAGGCAGTCTCTTGACTTACTGAGAGTTAGGGCTGGTATGGACCAAGCCCAGAATGGCTTGGATTGAGCTAGCTACTCGGCTGATGACCCACATTTCTTGGTTAACAACTGCACTGGGGAGTCCTGGGATTGCCATTACAAATAATTGTAATCACATGACATCTTGCTTTACAACTGCATCAATTTACAATAGCAATCCCAGTTGCAATTGTCATAAGTCGGGGACTACCTGTACACATGGCATGTAAGGAAGAGCAAGCTACCATTTATATCAATTTACTATTGATACAGAAATAAACTATGATCATTTTATCTCTGATGTATGAACTGAACCACTAAGTTTTAATATAGGTTCAGCTAATGCTTCAGAAAGATTTAAACAAATTGTCTGTACATACAGATATAAGAGTACAGCCATGTTTTGATTGATTAAATGCATATATTGTGCACATGTGTTCATGCATCTGCACAAACATACAGATGCAGCCATCATATTTCTATTTTCAATTCTACTCTGCCCAATTCACAAACACCAATTTTCTATAAATTTCATTCTCTTATTTCTTCTGTCTCTGTTCTTCATCTCTTCTTTCTATTCTGATTTATCATGTGGTTTTCTTCCCTAAGGTGGCAACTCTTCATCGCTATATCATTTACCATATATGTCATAGTAAATTGATAAGATGTTCAAATGATAGCAAATGAAACTGATATGTTGTTAATAGTTGTACCAGGTGGGGAAAATATGAAAGATCTGCCTTGACCACCAGTTTTCACTGGGTATGTGTGTGGCTGTATCGCTCATTCAACATTCTTGGTCTATGGACTGTACTTTGTTAGGCAGGGTATCCACAAGGTATGATCAGAAAAGTCAAATTGGGGGCCACAAAAATACGATCAGAATTTTTGTGTGTGTTGCACATAAAATGTGCATAAAGAACCAAAAAAGTTTTGGTCATATTGTTGTGGTCATCAACTTTTTTTAAAAAATCATACTCTGTGATTTTAAAAATCACAACCTACCCTTAGGAGTGATGTTTAGCTCCCACTCTGAAGATACTCTCTTTAGCCAAGCCTTTGAAATGTATTCATTATTCATTCATTTATCCACCCACCCACCCATCCATCTATTTGTTCATTTTCATTAATTCATTCTTTCATAATTCTGTTTGCCTTACTTTTATATTTTGCTTTATCTTTATACATTTTTAAAAAGATTAGTAGCTGCTTTAAGTATAAAACAATTGGAAAGGGTAGTGGCTGTAAGTTGAATAAAGGAGAAGGAAATCACATTGTACTTTGAATCAAGTACTGAGTAAAATTGAAGGCTTCCTTGTTTGGGATTCCTTCATTATCAAGGCAGCCTTATCAAAGCATTTCTATGTGAAAGTATCTTCTACTAAAATGAGAAGTTGAACATTTGTCACTGAAATAGCTTTTGAAATATTGAATCTTTAAACTTTTTCCTCCCTTCCCTTTCTCCAGGCAGCTAACAGTTCTAAGTTTGCTTCATAAATGAAGCAGCTTTAAGCATATTTGTATTCCTTTTGGAGTGACAGACTGAGTCTGCATCTGTTGCTGTTGCCTGGGACTCCATATTCACAATATAGAACTGTGGATAAAAGCTGTGTTACTGTGAAATCAATGTGGAATTCAACATCACTAGAGAAAAGAGTCTACAGCAAAAAGGATTACCACTTTTAATGCAGAACAAAGTGTATCTTTGCACCTTGGATCTGCAGTGGATTTTAGCAAATGCAGTAAGAAGATTTATGTGATCCAAAATATAAGGAAGTTTGTATTGGATGCACAAATGAAGACTATGAATAGAAGAAATATGCGGAAATGGACAAAAATAGGAAACTTCAGAAATGTATATGTCTTGCAAATAAGTTTATGCAATGGACTAATGTGCTAGTTTTCTTTCATCAGTGGAACTGGGCTAATAGTGACGGAAAGTTTCATTTAAAATCAGATACAGTAATTTTGAAAGATATAAGTGGAGTTTAATTTTGTGTCAAAAATTTTATACAGTTTGACAATGTTGTGAATGTCTGTTCAGTAGAAGTGATCTAAATGCAAATAGTCTAGGTTGGCCCATTGATGGTTGCAAGGAAGATTACCAGTTATGTTCCAATACATGAGGGTGGGGGGCAGAATATAAATTGTTATCTGGGATAACTATCATGAAACTGAATCAAAGTACTTAAACTATTCTTGATACTAACAGAAATTAGGTCGTCTCAGAAATAGTAAGTTTACTTTAACTTTTTTTATATGTCCTTGAATATTTTGAAATAAATTTTAAAAGCAGCACCCATTATATCATTTTGAATTCTCCATCAATTATTATTCCTTCAGCTCAAGTGGAAAGAATTATTTGTCTAAATATTTCTCAGCCTTTTGATAATTGTAACAAAACTGTGGACAACAATTCCCAGGTGAAAAATTACCAGTCATGAACTTCAATAGAACACTAAAAACATTGAAACCTGTATATAATGTTAAGTTATTTTTTTTTCCTGAAAATGGATTTGAAGAATTTTATTTTCTATGAAATAGTTGGATTGCTGTACATTCCAAACTACTAATCCAATAATAAGTTTAAACTATTGTAAGTTTAATTAAACTATTGTTAAATTTTCCTTTATGGTGCATTGATAAAAAAAACTGTGCTTAATAAATGCTTTATTTAAACTTCCACATTTTTAGATTTATTTATTTTCATATCTGTGACAGTCTCTTAGAAAGCTATAGGACATATTTAGGATTGACTATAATAACATAAACCTGGATTCCTAATTTTGGCTAATCTTTGAAATATATGGCCTGTATCAATATGCTGTACTAGGGAGAAAGGACAAATTATTTGTAAACTAAGGTACAGAGCCGTTCTATTTATTAAGCAGCATTCTCACAGTACTAGGCAGAGTGTTTAACACTGAATCTAAAGGTATAATTCCGCATATAAACAATACTATATCATAGTCAAATCAAAATCTTTAAAGATTCAGATATATTTTTCCATAAGTCATTAGTATAATATTATTGCATAGAAATAATCTTGGAAACTGAGTGGCATAGAAATATGTGTAATACATAAATAAATGGACAAATTCTCTGCCAGTACTTTGCATAACTTCTCAGGATTGGGGCTTGGTTAACCAAAGCTTTTTGGTATTATTGAGCAAAACAAGGCCACTTGCAGAAATTCTTTCATTGCTGTATTACTAGGAAAAAATATTTCTTCTTATGAATTTGCATATGATGATGCTAATTTTTATGTGGAATGCAAAAGAGGTAATTAGGAATAGCCTAATGATACCTATTTCAATCCGTTTGTTTTGACTCATTGTTAATACAAATGTATCAAACTTGTCTATTATTTTCTCAATATCAAACTCATCAGATAATGCATTATATAATCATTAAATAAAAATATTTTTCATACATATTTGAAACTACAATTTTTACAATTATCTAATAATTTCTCCACATTCTTTGTAATTTTATGTAAATTTATATAATCTACTATTAATTAATCTATTTACTTGTCATAGGAGAATGATCATCAGTCATAATTGTCCTTTTTCTTGGAACAATATAACATTCTAAAATCATGTTATCTTAAATTATCACAGCTATGTGACATTCTGAAAAGGATTCATATAATCTCATCATATGTTGTTAAGAATACATGTATGTGGATTATTAAGGCTCGATGCATTTAATGCTTTTAAAAATACATTAGTATACAAGGAAACAGTCTTTAACTTAGATCTGCTTGTTAATTCACAAGGATTTTCATTGTTTGGTGATTCAATAGTTCCCTGTAAAGAGCAGAATACAAGTGGAGGTAATTGTAGTTGAATCCGAGGCCTTGTGATGTGGTGGGGCTTACTCTTAGTTTGCTCAGTGGGGATTCAGGCTTTCACAGCACGAGCCTTTAGAATGAGGATTAATTGAATCAACTGTTCCTGGACGGAAAAAGAAGCAAGAACATCAAATATTTTACAGCATCTTATAATAATTTACATCAGAATTGCAAACCTGCTACTCCAATTCAATAGCGAACAACATTTTGTAACTGTAACAGGAAAAAAAAAAAAACAAATCTAATTTTCCATGACTTCTACATAAAAAAAAATAATATTTAGCTCAATAAAAACAGGTACTTTTATCTTAACCCCAGTCTCTGGATGATGTAAACCTTCCTAACTATGCTTTTTATATTGCTAGTTTGGTTTACATTAGCCTAGTAAGTGTATATAATTCTAGTTGACACATTAACATGGAGTGTTTCCATATGGGTTATCAGCAGCTGTTTTGGCAGGAAATTAAACTTGAGAGTTTAATTTTATTTCATTGTGGCAAAACCTGTTCAACAGTTCAGAGTATTTAAATTTTCAAACTACCTGTTCACTTATCTAATAGCTACACACCGGTAAATAAAATTTAACTGAAAAGTTAAATTGTATAGGATAGCAGTATACGAAATTATGGGTAATGCACACTGAAATATAATTAGTATGATAAAGAATTTATGCTGGTAGTAACTACAGCATAATGCAGACGAATGTGTTGAATATGTCACTTGTTAACTGCCCCTGAGGCCCCAAGTGATTTTACAGAGTGGAGAAATCTGATGCATGCAGAAGCAAATTTGTACTTCCTTAGGTTTCTCTGGCAGAAAATTAAAGATACTTATTTTTCAACTGATAGATTGCAGTTTTTTTCTACAGGGAAAAATAGAGAGAGAGAATGGGCATTTTCTACAAAAATGCATTCTTGACTTTACCAATCTGAGACAATTCATGTTTTATAATTTCTAGCCTTTTTCTCTAAGATATTTAATAGTCTCTCATTTGTATTCACATAATAACTCCAGGATAAATTAATTCTGGTTCAATCAGGATTATCTAGTCCAAAATTCTATCCACCCAGAACATTCACAAATAGCATATAAACCTGGCTTTCCAATCTCACTCATATTCCCAAAATTTGTCTGATTTTAATTGCTGACAGACAATGCATACAGTTATGTGTACTGTTATCCTTTGATAACTTTATCACATGAATCACTTTTAAAGTCATCCAAGTTGTAGAATGTAACTACAACTTTAAAAGCCCATGTACTTCATTTCACCTGTCCTAAATCTCCCTTTATTAAGATCCATTTGATATCTTGAGTTATTACATCATGAGATGATGAGGTAATGGGAGAGAACATTATTCTACTTTCTTCACACCATGAGTAATTTTATATAGCTCCATCATGTTTTCACTCATTATTTTTTTTAATTAAAAGCCTATATCTCTTCCATATAAAATTTCAGAGTTTCCATTCTAAACTTTTCCTAACTCCATAATATTTGGAGAAGAGGTGAGCCAGATTACTTCCACACAGAAAGCACTTTCTTTTTGCTCATGCAAAGACAACCATTTCTAAGTGATATTTAAATATCTGGAGTAAATATAGAACCTTGGAAATTATAAGGATTTCAGACCCTTATTTTTGTTGTTCATTAGATGTTTCTCTTCTTGAGCAATAATGAAGTATATCAACAAGTGGGCATTGCTCCAATACCTGAAAAAATGTGGGAGAAAAGCTTATGTTTATAAATGTTTATAAACGTCATGTCCTATGAGCAGCACCCCACACCGTTGCCTGTATTGCCTTCTACTTTAATACAGATGGCAAGCACCTATGTGGAAGACTAAAGAAAAGTTAGCAAGACACAATAAATGCAGACATGAAAATTGCCCAGTTGGACCAGGATGCTGCGTTTGATCATGAAAGATGGTGTTTGTCCATCTGAAAAGTGGACCCTGCACCTGCAAGAATAATGCTAGGAAGATGATGATTTATAGTAAGCTAATGAAAGTTACTATAAATTATCTTTAAATTATTTGAAATGCTTCTTAAATTTCTTGACATCTGGATTAAGTTGCTGTTTATGACTCACCTCCTGCCTTTTGATTGTTTAGGTCTCCTCTACCCTCCATTCCTTTCCCAGCCCTTCATAGTCTCCCTTAGTGTGCTTGTCCAAGGAAAACGTATGGTGTGTTTCTGATTGTGCACCACATGTTCCAAGCACGTAATTACAATCTAGATTTTCTAGGAAGCTGTAAAGATTAGCAAATTTATTTTCCTAATAATTCCTTCAGTGCAGTTTGCCTTTTCCCAACAGCTGTGTGTTTCGTGAAGAGGGAGGTGAAGGGCTTCTGAATTCATCAAGAGAAAATAGAATTGGACTAAAGCTGGTGCCAAGGGGAAGAGCCCAGTATTATTTCTATTACTCTGAAGTGTAAACAGATGAGATTGGAAGAAAAATGACTTTGAATTTGCTTTGTAGGCAAGGGCCTCAAGAGTAGAACAAAGAACACATGGGTCAGTAACTCAGTCAGTTACTGAGCACAACAAAACTTTCAGTGGAGTTGAGAAGAAGCAAAGTATTTTCTTACTACTTTCTAAATGTCCCCTGTGTTTTACTTGTTGGGGGTACTGTCTTTAAGTCAGCTTCAATAACTTGGACACAATAAATACCCCGCTCTCTAAGTAAGTGTCACTCTATTGACTTGACAATATTCCTGATAAATTCCACAGAAAAAGAATTGAATCACAATACATATATATATAACATTTTTTCCAGGCATATGTGAGAGGTTCAGCTTCTGGCTAGACTCAAACACAGAAGCAACATTCTGTCTTTTTTGGCAAAGGGAGGCATTTTCTTGACCTCATGAAATAAGATCCTCGCTATTACAAATATCTCTTTATTTGCAATCAAATGTGTCATGATGCATGCACTGTAATTGTAAAGTAAGCCAAATTAAAGAAATCAAGAACAGAATATTTGTTTTGTGTCCATTTTAAGTGATTATTGAAAACATGACCAAACAGTTTGCATGTTAGAAATTATTTATTCTCACTTGCTCTGTGCAGAACATATTACTTGGTGATTTTTTGCATTAATCTGTCTTGTTCATTCATTTAAGTAATAGTTTCAAGACTATAATTCATAGGCTGTGTCTATGTGTGTGTATTCTACATTGATGATATAGCTGTGGTATTTCCCTTTGCAACTAGATCAAATAAGAGAAAATTAATTCATTTTATTGAATAACTGATTATATACTACTATTTTCTTGCTACTTCTCATACTTCATATTGGATTTTTTAAAACACTGTTTAATTTTAAGGTCTTTTATTGCTAGTCTTTTAAATATTTTCTTTTGACAGCACTGCAAGAAATTATAACAGATTATAATTGTTTTGAGGTGTACTTTTTAATATTCTATGTATCCTAATCTTTGTATAAGAGCAAAAAAGCTTATTTCATTTTTTAACTTTTACTTTCTCCAGGGATCAGGGCAGGATATTTAGTTGTTGCCAATATTTTATTTCAGAACAACTCTTTAACTTAGGCTAAGTGCTCTTCCAGGCAGAGATGCAGTTCTTATGATAGATGATAAACCTCCTATCAAATATTTGACTGATCAAATGATGTTGTGCCTGAACAGTTACCATGGTAAGATTTCCTGGAATATTCTTGTACATTCACAAACAATGTGCTGACAAGAAAATCAATTTTAAGTAGTTAATACTACAATACAGGAATCTTACATTTCAGTGCCAACAGGTGTCTACAGGTTCAGGGATGTCTGGCCAATAACTGAGCACTAATTAGTCAAAATTTC